AGTTGTGAGTTGCATCATCTACCAGTCATGAAAAAACCATTAAACCAGTCAAAATAACGATAATATTAAAAATATGAATTGACAATATTAAAACATATTACAATTAATTTTTCGAGTTGAATATTTATTGTAAAGTTTTGACATCATCTTTCTGACGAAAACCCTGTACCTATAATTTTTTATACCTTCATATCTATATTATAGTATTAGGTCAACTTTGTTATGTTATTTATTTAAGTATAGATTTTTATAGTTGACCATAGGATGCGCCTCTCTTATTTTTCTTTTGTGATAACGGAGTTTAGACTGTTTTATTTTCGCTTTTGTGTTTCCAGTGTTTATCATAATAAAAGTTATACCTACATAAAAGTGTTTTCCATATTTTTTCAAAACTATAATTTTCAGGTTTATGGCGTAATAGCTGGGAGATAACAAGAAATTGGAACATCCAGAGACATCATCTATTTGTAAATTTATCCGCACATTGTAAATTTACATGCTTGTAATTTTACAATACATTTTCAGAGAAATGTTTCAAACTTACAACATTTATGTAGAAATCATAAATAAAACTACGAATTTTTTGTGAATTTGAAATATAAATTCACAAGTTTTTTTTGTAATAATATTATTTAAAATTACAATCCTTTTGTAAATTTACAGAACTGAAATTACAGAGTTTATGTACTTTTACAATAGCGTTGTAATTTTACTTACAAAATTATTGGTTATTTTTTGCCAGTGATTTTGTAAGTAAATTTACAAAATAATTTTTTCAGTGTACAATTATTGCTGCGAAATGATGCTAATTCTACGACACACCCCCATATTGTCACTGAGGTATTTAAACCGCGGAATATATTTGCGTTCGTCGCTAATATTGTGGTGTTTCGCTTAACAGGACATGAGAATGCGTGGTATACGATACTAAGGTGTATAAATTCAGAATTTGGGGAATTTCTAGATATTTGAAATTACATAACTGTGTCTCTCATGTCTTGTGTATAACTTTTCCCAATTTAGATTATGGCAAATGCATATTAAATTCAAACGTAACCGACTCAATTTATTATGACTAATTATCTTTGCTTTAATATGGTGAGGGTTTCAAATTGTTACGAGAATATTTTCCACCGTATTTGGCGTTTGATAGATGAAGTTACATTTTCTATAATTATTATAGTCCAGAATTTTCATTAACAGCTTTGCTGAGCAAGCTGGATTCCGTTTGAAATTGAGGAGATCATTCACACAAACAAGACAGAATCCGTTTTAGCTGCCTTTTCCTTCAAGAGATCCAACCTGATATTTTTAGGGCAAAACTTTGACATTTTCCAGAATCGAAGGCCGATAGACTGACATTAAATTTTTTTATCAAATTTCTAATAATTGTAATGTCAACCAAATACACCTTTCAATCCTTTGTCTGAAAGGTGTGCTAGTCAGCTTCCTTCTAATATAGTTTAGTATTTTTTGGTCAAGTGGAAACTAAAAATGACTACCGCCTAAATTTTCTATTGTCTGTCTACTTGAAGCTGGCTCTTCCAGAACTTCCCTTTTTCCCTCCATAAAGTATCCAATTTTTCAGTACCTACCTCATGATTTAAGTTCATATAGGTATCCCAATATCGCTACTTGGATAATTTTACGAGGTTCACGCATTCATGTGGTAAAAAATAATTTACCTTTGTAGTCGCCGCACTTTTACTAGACACGCAACTGCATACTTCTTTATTCGACACGACAACTTAATAAATAAAGTATAATGGAAAAACACAAAGGAAAAAGGATTGGTGGTGGCTCTGGGGACAAGGGCGCTATTTCGATTGTCAAATATATTAGAACAGCTTCGAAATGTTATTCGCATGTGGCACTTATGGCCTAAGTTGTTTGAAATATTTTGGTTGTAACTTTAAAAAGGGCCGATAACATATTTTATTTTTATTTGACACAAGTTGATTTTTTTCCTATAGAACGCTGATATTTTTTATTTTAGAAATCGATCAGACTATGCTTGAAGTTATGGCAACTCCTGGAAATGTAGTAGGTAGTTTCTGATAAACTTTCGATAAACTCTCTGCTATTTGTTTGTCAGTTTGTCAGAAATAGTGGTGCCGCGAGACGAGACTAGACGAGACTTAAGGTTGGTCTCGTCTCGTCTCGACATCTCGAGACGAGACCGTGACTTAGTCTCGGTCTCGAGTACCACAGGCTCGTCTCGTCTCAAGTGGTCTCGTCTGGTCTCGAGTTATACAGGGTGTCCGGAAAATAGCGTAAAAACTCTTCATCACGTGGTGGAGGACCCTTCAAGGAACCCAAGAAAAATAATTTCAAAAATCTAGTGGTATTTTTAAGAAAGTTATTTACATTTTAATATTTATTAAAATTGGCGACACTGAAAATATCCCGTTAACAATATGTCAGAGAATTGAATTAAATACCTATGTAATAATAACCTGTAGAATTTGAAGGTGAATTTCCACATTTACCTCGTCATATTAACAAGAATAATGCTGAAGAAGAATTTTTTCAATTATTTTTCTAGGGTTTCTCAAGGGGTCCTCTACTACGTGTAGAGCTTTTACGCTATTTTCCGAACACCCTGTATTTATGGTTTTTATTTTTATATTATAACGGTAGTCTAAATTGCCACAGTGAAAAAGCAGTTATTTAAAGAGTGAAAAATCACAGTGAAGAGTAACCGTGATATTTGAAAAAATATGAACGTCAACTAAAAAAAAATGTCGGACAAAACAGTTTTTGAAAAAAGAATCACCATTTAATTTTTTTGTGAATTAATGGAATGCTTTCTACATACTTTATCTTCAGATCTAACTTCCAGTTTAGCCGAAAGTGCTTATGCTTTAAATATTTTTTCTAAATTGATCTCACTACTGGCTGAACCGAAAGTGGAATCTGAAAATTAAGTAGGTAAACATTGTTTCACGAGAGTTCATACTTTTTGCCTTCCTTTTTTAACAAATATAAATGACTGAAACAAATCAATGCCCTCAAAAACGTTCGTCGGTTCTTAAACCAGAAGTTATTCATTTTTCATTTGTCAAAAAAATTGAATGTGTCATATGATTTAATCTACGACAACCCTTTTTTTTCAAGTTATGACGTGTTCGATATCAAAAGTATGAACCCTCGTGAAACGATCTGTATGTAGAAATCATCCCATTAAGAATTGTTAGTATTAAAATTTAATGATTTCATATTCAAATAGCCCAGAATAGTCCAATAATAAAGCTATGAAAGAAAAATTTTAATTGTAATCTCGAGACTACGCGAGACTCTCGCCGAGTCTGGTCTCGTCTCGTCAATACTTCACGAGACGAGACCAAAAGCCAGTCTCGTCTCGAAAAGTGGAGACGAGACGAGACGAGACGAGTCTCTCTCGAGTCTCGCGGCATCACTAGTCAGAAACAAGAAATGATCATTTCATAGTTATAACCAGTAACCAGTGTTATTTTAGGCCCTCTGAAATGAGTCTGATCCGTCTAGAAACGTCAGTGTTGTCAAATTCCACTATTTTCTCGCATTTTAAAAATTACACTAATGTCGAGTAGGAAAATACCACCTACCGACGTTCTGTTGAGTTTCGATGGCGCGTAGGTGCAAGTAAATTTTCCGGAATTGAAAGTCCAGAAATTAGGGCGACCTGTTCGAACGGCAATTGATATGTCAGAGGTTTATTTCTATATTTACGAGCCCACAGATGGCGCTACGAAAAATTGTTAGCTCAATGGTAAATTTACATGGTAGGTAGGTGCTCCAATATCAATAATAGAATAATCTAATGAATAACAAAAATCGGTCATTTGGTGTGTCGTTAATTGAATTATTATGTTGAAAAGTAGGTAAAACAAACTAAATAAAAAATCTGTGATATTTATCAGGTTCCCAAGAAAAAAAAGCTACTCGCAACACACTCATGCAAAAATAAATCATGTACCATTTACCATAAATGAGTCTGTTGAATAGAAAAAGTTTTTTTTATTAACAGGGGCATTTTACTTCTGGTTCTAATGCATGTTACAACTGAGTTTTTCCAAGACAGTGGAAAAGTCTTTTCTGCATAGAAGAATATTAGGTAAGGCAAAACAGGCCCGAGTTCTTCCCAAATCCCAGATCTATTTAAAATTGTGTATATACCCGTTCTATAAATAAAGGCATGATGTGCTGAATAATTTCTTTCCAAAGATCCAACTTAATTGGATTAAATAAAATATTTTACTAGGAACAATTTCTATGTCGCAATAATTAAGGAAAGATTTATTCAGCAAATCGTTTTTTATTGCGTTTCATTAGAGTTCGAAGAACACAGTAGCACGGGCCTGATGTCACACTCTAGTAAATTTATCCGGTATTTATGAAGCGAGGAGTTTTATGCTTTATCTCACTCGAACTTACATATGTATAAATCTTGGTAATTTGCCGAGAACAGCGGAAAATTGTTCTCCATTTGAAGTTACCAGCTTGCCAGTGACGTAATGCATCACTCGAATGTTGTAAAAACATCTCCGCTCCACGGTTAACGCCGAATTTATTCAGCTTTGCAAACTCCTTTCCTTATACGTCATTATCTCAAGTACAATAATGTCACATACACTTACTTATTATTCGCTCGTTATTTTACCCTGAGTTCCTTTACCTCAATATAAAGAGCTCATGCCCAATTTAATGGTTATTGATGTTAAGCTATAAAGGAATATTTTTCGTATTCTGAAAGAATGTTTTTACTTGTCTTCTTCAATCAAGCTTTAAAATATTTTTAAGTCTGGAATGGAATTCAATGCATTGCAATTTATATTATTGAAGAGAAAATCGGATATATATACAATATGCTTTTTTATTTGGTGCCTTTTTTTTACACAAATATTTAATCAATCAAACAGTAACTTATTGGCTTGCCGGAAATTTTTGACATTGCAATAATAACAAAAGCTTTACGTCCTAACTTTCAAAAGCACTACTAACACAAGAAACATTCACAGAGCCCTGCGAGAAGACGTATTGCGCTTGGGGGGCCCAGTGTGTCAACGCTCCTGATGGAAAAGCCCTTTGTCAATGCCCGACGTCGTGCAAACCTAAAATCGAACCTGTTTGTGGGACGGATAATGTGACATACGACAACCAATGCTTGATGCGAGTGGCGTCCTGCAAGGCACGACTCGACACTAGGGTTAAACATGGTGGGGAATGTGGTAAGCATTTAACTGAAACTTGTTTACTAATTGAACTAATAGATTTTCCATTAAGTCTTTTAATTAAACCAGAAACACGTTCTTATGGGCTTGGTTTATCTCAATATGATTACGAATAAGATAATCAGAACATCTATAAATTCCAAAGAATTTTTTACGAAACTTTGTCATTCTTTTGCAATTCCATAATTTATTTCAAATTTCCAAACGAAAATAGAATACAAAAATCTTAACCAAGCCATGAACTACGAATTGGAAAACGCAAAATACCTACCTTGAAATTGCATTTACCGTTCCGAACTAAACTGAAAAGTTATACAAGAAGTATATAAAAATAGGGCAATTCACGGAACAATAAAATCGAATATTCAAATAGAGTTTCCGATGAAAGATTAAGAGATGTTTTGAAAAACACATTTTTATTATTTTTTTCTATTTATTTCTTGACAGCAAGATTCATGAGGTAGAAAAATTCACACAGTATGTATATTTGTTTGGTGGCCAACAGTCGAACAGAGCAAAGCAACAATAGAGCTATCCAAAGTTCTAATATTAGGTTGTTTCCGCGTAATCGGCAACTACTGCTATGGAAACCATACTAAACCTCCCACCACTTGATATCATGATCAAAACTGAGGGAAGAATGAGGGTCTACAGACTCAATTGTGGTCAAAACTGGAATCCGAGACGAACATACCAGGATAACAATAGTATATTACATACCGAGGTGGGAAGTGTTTCATTACTATCATTTAGTTAACTGAGACGCGAAGCGTGGAAGTTAACTATAATCTCGAAACAGGAATGAAACTTCCTACAGAGGTTTGTATACTATTTTATTAACAACAAATACAACCATCACAATTTTGACTAAACACTAAATTAAAATTTAAAAAAAAAATTGACAAGTTCTGACTTGACTAAAAAAACATTTAACATGCAGGATTTGTTTTTAACATTTTAGGAAATGAGGGCTTAGTTTCCACCCGGGACCGCTTTCCACCCGGGAGGAAAGTAAAATTGAAAAAAGTGCCACTTTCAAACATTTGAAATTCAGAAATGTCAACATTACGTATATGGTTGTAAATAAACATTGTTACAAACTTACTGCTTGAGATGAGAAGTGACAACATGACCCCGAGAATAAACACTCACAAACCGTTTCAAACCCAGAATAACTGGAAAAACAAAAAAGAAAACTCACTAGTCCAGAATGGAAAGTTAGTATGGTAGACTGGTGGCTTCAAACGCGACAGCAGAAACGGTGCTGGAGTATATGGCTTTTCCCCAAGAGCAAAATGACTTTTCCCACTGGGGAAGGATAACATCGTATTCAGAAATACAGGCAATAGAGATATTCCTGCGGAAAAAATCTGAGAAGGGGGTATGTATACAAGGATATCACGATCTTTTCAGACAGCCAAGCAGCTATTAAGGCTCTAGCATGTCAACAGATAAACTCAAAATTAGTGTGTGACTGCCTGCAACTCCGTTTAACCCTAGCCAGATATAACAAGGTAACTCTTGCGTGGGTGCCAGGGCACACGGGCGTTGCTGGCAATGAAAGCGCAGACCCCTTAGCCAGGCAAGGAGCAGAAAGGCAGTTTATGAGTCCTGGACCCGTATTCCGAATATCAAAAACCTCGATACGTGGCTGATTAGAAAAGCGGATCCGATAAGAACACAAAAACCACTGGTATCAAACACCGAGGCAACACTACAGTAAGGCAATGGTGAAATATCCAACGGCAAGATTAGCCTCTGAGATCGTAAAGCTCACGAGAAATCATATCAGAATTGTGACAGGACCTCTTAACCGGTCACTGTAGGTATACTGGAAAACATTTACACAACATGGGTATCTACCAAGATGAACCCATCTGTAGACTGTGCGACAACGACGAAGAATCAGCCTCTCACATCTTATTCGACTAGTCAGCACTCGCTTACTGGCGAAGTAGACACCTTCAAGAGGAACTCATCTAGAAGGAGGGTCCTCTGAAGACGCTACTGCACCTGGCGAAGGTGTCAAACCTATTGTAGCAGAAACTTACACAGCAAGGGATACAATAAACTAAATAGCTGCAGTGTCAGAGAATCACCTAACCTTGCCTTACTACTATACATCAAATCAATCAATCAATCAATGTATAGAAATAATTTTAAAGCAGATTAAAATTACACATTGGAATGAAAAGAAAATTCCGTCGAAAATCTAGATGTCCTTTCATTCATTCATTCATTCATTCCTTTTCTTCAACATTCCTAATTTCAGGAGATGAAAGCTGAGAAGACTGCATACCTCTATGGTACGGTCCTCTCTTACGAAAAGGTGCTCTTAATTAATTTCTACTTCTAGTTGTAATGATCATATCGTTTGCATAGCCTTCTTTCTTCGCTTAATTTTCACAACAATTTTGTTTGGTTACCCCCAGTTTATTCATATTCCGATTACCTTGCTGACGACTGTCTACAAGACAAATATGCGAAACTTGTATCCGGCCGACCAATAGAAATATAGACTGCATTTTTATCCGTCAGATTGCATTGTCTGAGAGTTTATCAGAAGGTAAATAAACCGGGTACTAGATGCACAAGACAAAGAAGTATGATGCACAGTTATTATTTTATACGAGCACTTCCTAATAAAATATATAATCTGCCTACTTTGCATAAACCGTTAAGACATTTGAATGAGATTTCACTCTTCAACATGCAAAAACTCTAGTCGTTGAAATGCAACATTGCTGCATTATTAGATAGAGTTGCAGAAATTCCAACTATATCGATTCCCGTCGTGTTCAAGAATTAAACCTTTGAAGAACGCGTATATTTGGCGTATATTCCGAGAAGGTTTTCATCCGTATAATATTGTGTTGACTCAAGAACTGAAGTCACTAGACCATGGTAAGCGTCGTGACTTTGCTGTTCGGGCTCTAGAGCAACTTGAAACGGATCCTAATTTTGCGCAAAAAATCATATTTTCAACGGCAGCTGGTTTTTAGTTGAGTGGATATGCTAACAAACATCCCTGTATAATTGCATCATCAATGTGTTGTTGTTGCTGACCGGTATCGATTTGGATGAGGCGTAGCTCTAACCAGATATGTAATGTAACACGTCACACTGTTAATGCCACTATCAAATTATTGCAAGAAAAGTCGTTATTTATGTCTTCGAGATTCCTTTTTGCAGGGTTATCTAAAATCAAAATTCTATATGCAAACAAACCGCCAACCCTCGATGCATTAAGATCGAACAGCGGGCGCTGCATATGTGAGATTACGCCCGATTTATTGCGCAAAGTCTTCGAAAATTGAGTTCATTAAATTAGCTCCACAAAGCCGTGGTGGTGGTGGACACTTTGAATGAAGTGTTATTGAGAAAAAAAAAATGTAATGAACTCCTCTTGGAAACAAATTGATTACTTATATGTATTTAAAATAGTTTTTATTTATTCTGTAGTACGTTGTTGGTGCTGGGTTCGAATATCTCTACGCAAACGAAGGTCGATGTTAACAGAAGTATTGGATTACATCAATAACAGAAATGTTTCCTGTACATTACAAATCCGTTCATCGGCTTGAAATTAATGACGAGATTCATTGGCCTCTGCCCCTATTTTTTTGTCAATGTCATACAAAATTGGATAACTAGGAATTCAGGAATCCATATTCAATTTCGAAAATGGTAGCTTTTGGAAGTCCAAGGAAATGAAACAAATGTTGTTATGATCTTCTGTTCAAAATTAACAAAATCAGCATCAGCATTTTCTGATTATCTTGTTCTCATTTACCAACCTACATCATTATGGGCTTTCGTTCGATTTATTCACCCATTCAACAGTTTTCACGCTTTCACTTGTTCGAATCCGATCGTTTTCAAATCGAAAAAAATTCCTTTATTACGATATGCTGAATCTAATTAAAAGGCTGGAGTGTCTTTCAGCTAGATATTATTTAATTAGTTTCTGATATTACTTTACCTTGAAATGCTTTCTATTAATCATTCAAGGAAGATTAATTCCTGGAGCACACGATATGCTTTGCGAACGTTTCTTTCGAACACCGGCTTTGTTAAAGTTCAAATTATATATCAATAACCTTAAGTAACTTACAGCGTTGAGCGAGAAGATCCCAATATATTCAGAAAAACGTATCATTACTCTAGACAAGTTTCCGGATGTTTCCGAACAAGAATTTCGAACCTTGTTCAACACATTTTTTTTTGCTGACCACAAACGCTTGTAACTTTTTTGTTTGAAATAGTTTCGATGTGCGCTTCTTAGAATAATGATAGTTTGTGGGGCTCTAAAAGGCTTTCTTTTTTTTCCATTTAGTATTTATGAGACATAATTAAAATGTTTATTACCCAATCTCGAGTTTTTTTCTAATTTAGCCTAAACATCAATACTTTTTAGTTTAAACCTCGAATATTTTTGTATGAATTAATGAATTTTTTACAGTCTAAAATACGCCCTGTTTAGAGAAATTATGCTAAAGCTGAAATAAAGTAGCTATACGGTTAAAGTTTCAAGGACTCCTGGCTTTCAAATAGAGAGCAGTAGATTCGGATTTTTATCTTGAATTAATTTTATTTTGGCGAAACGCGAAATGTGAATTACAATTAAGTGATGCAATGCTAATCTTATTATTTACTGTTTTTTTTTTTTTGCTTCAATTTTTTCGGAAATAAATTGTATTTTTACACTTCGAGCTATTAAAACTAAAGAAATAATCACTTTAATATCAAAGTTGAATTATAATCTAACTACCCTGTATGAATACAGAGAGCTTTTTACTCTGGTACTCTCTTGCGTAAGGAAATCTAGTCAGAACTTATCACGAGATGATTTTATCAAACAATATTTTCAATTAATTATAATATGCTAGGTTTGCTTCCAAGAGTTCATGGAAGATCTAGAGTTTTGCGATGCTTGGCCGTGAAACTTTTCCCATCTTTTTTTTTCTAGTTGGTATCAAACTATTTATCTTGTCCATTCTATTACGTGAGTAGTCGTTTTCAACTATGAATTTTGTGTCGCTGTGATACGGACCCGTGAATAGGGTACTTGCATGGAAAATTAAATTGATTATTGTTTATTGCAAATTGTAGGAATTCGAAAAAAATCGTTACTTTTTTTTTTATTTCGCCCAAATATGATTATTCCGGAAGTTATTCAAATATTAAGTTTTGTATATATAGATATACTGAGCATGTGCAACGTCACTTATTTATTAGATAAGTGACGTCATAGGCAGATTTCATTGTGTTGTATCTCCGTCAATTTTTGACTAAGAAGCAAAAGAAAAAACACGTGTTGACTTATTTTTCATGGACTATCGAAATCAGCAATAAAAAAATTTGATGCAAGGAGCCTATTTTCCGGCGCCCTAACTTCTGTTTATAAAACATCCTGGCTTGCAGGAACGATCATCTCATGTTGACTCTGGCATGTTTTTGAATAATCCTTCTGGCTTTCAATGCGTTTGGGTCATAACAGAGCCATTACTATACCATTTCTCATTCTCGACCTCCCTATTTCAAGACGTAGTATTATGTCTTTCAGAGCTCTTAGAACCATGTCTCTGGAAATAATGTTCTCTGGATCTATGTTCTTGTTCAAACTCGTAATCGTCATCATTTCAACTATTCACATGCTCAACATCTATATGCCTTGTTAAATGAATGCCCTTTAGGATTCCTTCCTTTCCGTCCAAGTCTATCCTAACACCTTCTTCTCATGGACTGACGTCACAGTAACTAAAAGAATGGCCACCTTTTTTTTGTTGACCACCCTGCTAGTCGCTTTGTGTGCACTATTGTTCCTAGTACTTGTACCATTGTACTCATCGTATGAAGCTGTAGAGCGTTTGTTTGAAGGATAATCTTGATCTTCTGGATCAATAATTATTTATTTTTTTTCGCCCGCCGAATTTTCCTTTTCTCCAGTTTGTCGGTGATCTACTTTTTTCTAATCCAACCCAATTTCATGTTGTTTCTTATGGTTCGAGTTATGAAAAATCCATTCCTGACATCAGATCCGCGAAATGTTACAGAACACTCCAAAATTATTTTGGAACTGTAAAGAATAAACAAAAACCAAGAAAAACTTTTAGAGACAGAGGAAAACAAAATATATGTATTACATTAAATAAAATGTATGGCATACTATTCAGAATTATGAACTTTCTTAGAACTACAAGGAAAAATTTATATTATAAAACACTAAGCACGTGGGACCGTTCTGTAAATAAAACCCATTTAAGGAATTAAGGGTTAACTTTGTCCTGTATAACGTACTTGAGTTTTATTATTTTTTTCCGTAACATGCATAAATTTTATCATCACCCTTTCTCCTTTACCTTCCTGGTTTGTATGATGTACATACTCTCTCGTAAAATAGGATATAAGCAACGTGACGTAAAAATCCACAAGAAAAAGAAAAAGAATAAGTGCACTTTGCCCTAATAGAACTTCTGATGAAACCACGCGCCAGGTGGTCTTCGTGGCAATTTATCAAAACTGGAACGAAACAAAAGAAATAAAAAAAGCTGTGTCACCTTTGCGACAAACTAATCTGTGGTGTTATGGCAAACTTAAAATCAATATGGCGCCTGCCCGGCGTTGTCTTCATATATGCAGTCAAGCTACCTGTGGTGCAAGTTATGTTTCGGAAAGGCCCTTCTGTTCACTTCAGTGGCGTTTAGACCAGTGTGCCGTTCGCGCGTTCGCACTATCTCGTCATCGATCGGCAATACTTCGCTCACACTCGGGTTTCTGAAATATATGTGTCTGGTTCTTAGCTTTTTGTATCGCTCAGCTTAATCAAGTCCGCGTCTCCCTCTTTGGCTCTTTATTCCTTTACCGTTGTGTATGTGATCGGCGTTTTTTTGCCCTCACACCGGACCCATATATTTCAAATTTTATAGTCTTACTATGTCAAGCCTTGGCTCGATGATAATTTATTAAATTTAACCAATAGAAATATAAAATAAATAAACTCACAGGAATTTACAGTCTTATAATGATATCAATATCATTTCTTCTGTTATTACTTTTAACTAATTATGCTAACATAGCCTACACTTGCTATGTATTTCCTAAAGGCAAACTAGGTAAAAATGTCTAAAATTTAATATTAAAACTATATACATATCAAAAACCACGCTGTTTCCACGTGCTAGAAGCACGTGCGGGAGAGCATGCGCCAGCGCTGTCTACCTCACAAATATCTTCGAGGAATTTGAATTTTCAATTATGCATTTTGCATTTGAGATCATGCCGATAATAAACACATAATTAGACGTACAAATGAGGTATAATTATAAAAAACAATTACAATAATTTGCCATTGGAGATGAACGCCGAGCGAGAGCGTAGGGATTTTTCGGCCAAGCATGATATTAAATTGGTGTTCAACAGCCCAGGAAAACTTGATAATAAATATGCAATAGTTGCGGCTGATATTGTGGATGCAAAATTGAGAATCCGTTATCAATGTGTCTTTAAACATTGATAATTTTTCAAATAAACACTATTCACATCATTATAGTAGGATAACAATAAAATAAATTTATAATTTATAACTTTGTTATTATATTTTTTTAAAAATCCTCTGCTTTTTATTTCAGTTGATAACGACTTATGCAAAGAAAAGAACTGCGGATACGGTGCTCGATGCGTAATGAGTCCGGATGGCCGAAATGTCAGCTGCGTTTGTCCAGAGAAATGCCATAGTTATGGGGACCATGTAACATCTCATCCTGTATGTGGTTCGGATGGCGGCGACTATAAAAATAGGTGCGAACTAGACCGTGCAGCCTGCAAATCAAACAACAACATCACTATTAAATTCAACGGGAAGTGTGGTAAGTGTTGTTTTACACGCTCGATGGTAAACATCCGTTTCATTGTTGCATATGCTTGTTTATACCAATGTTTAATACTGGACGGACCACTTAATTTACGTATAATTTATTGGCAATTAGTGGGTGTATTCCAAAATAATTCGGGTTCACAAGTAGGTATTTGTAGTTATTTTTTCAATAGTTTTAGCCTAAACCCCGCGCACACGAGGTACTAAGAAGTTATAAAAAAATAGTTATTACGAAAAAATTTCAGGATTTCTTACACACACAACAATAAGTAATTTCAAATTTTCAAGAGCTTGTTCACAAGATGTTTTTTTTTTTGAAAGAAATTACCGATCGCAAATCCTTAACATTTACAGGAACGTGCTTTCATGACAAGAAAATCTAATGAGCCAAAAACATAAAACTTTTTTTTTTTTTTTTCTTCGAAACATTATTTCAAATAACCCCGTAGAAGGGGTGTTAAAATGCAAGGAAAAACCTTCTTTGCTGCTTTTAAAGTTTTAGTGTAGTTTACCCAATAATATCACGACCTGAGTAACATTTAATCGGCTAGTTTCAGAAGTAAAATAAAAGTTATTTTATATTACATGTTATAATTTTTATAAAGTTATACTGCTCCTAACTAACAGTCTCATTACCTGTCAAGAGTTTCTGCTCGTTTACAACTTTAATATTTGGTGGTTAGTTGGCTACTTTCAATCTTTGTTGTTAAAGTTTGTAGAAATATTTCTAGCCGTTGCCAGGATCTTGATGGTATTTGAGTAAATCTCGCCTTAGAAAGCAAATTACCTATTATAAAAAAATGGAGGCAAAGTAAAATAATGATATTTTCGCTTTTTGAGACCTAGGTATATGAATTGTTTCAGATCCATGTGCCGGTGTCGAATGTACCGAACCTGAAATATGTCAGCTCGATTCTCAGAGAAATCCTGTGTGCCGATGTGGAGATACTTGCCCTTTAGAGTTTACCCCAGTCTGCGGTTCGGATGGAAAAACCTATTCGAATGAGTGTACTTTACGACAAGAGGCTTGCCGAACCAGAAAAACCCTCAATATTATTTACAGAGGAAAATGCAGCTCAGGTTTTTATATTTTTCTTGTTTTTTCTTTATCCAATGTCATTATTATGAATGTTATTGGAAAATTTTCTTGACTCTAGAAATAATGCTTTGGTATTGTGATTGTAAATATTATTGATTGCGTAACGAAATTAATTTTCGATGGGCTTTCCGAGTTTACTCGAATAAAAAGCATTGATAAAATTCCAAATAGATAATTATGCTTCAATTCTAAGTCAGTTCGATTGAAAGAAGAGTATCAATTATATATATTTAATGGGTTCCAAAACTACACTTTCTCACTTACATTGTTATAGCTATAGTTTTTCCTTTTTCTGAAAAAGGCTCCTAAAGATCCATCGAAGGCTCGGTATAAATCTATAATTTACCAAATCTGCCTTTCCCCCTTTTCTCATTTGTTACCAAGGTGTTGAAGAATATTTTGCAATGGCATCTTTAAGTTTCTTGTTTTCTATCTCTAAATGCAAAACTTGGATAAATTAAATTGCTCTGCGCTATTGGAAACTGTCTATTCAAGTTCAAATTGGCCCTGGAGAGCGTTTTCATTGCTTATCCAGGACTTTGCAAACAAAATAAGTTTACTGAAATCCCGCTCGATTAATTTGTAACTCTCAATTATTGGCAGGTAGATAAATAGAAACTTTTTAATTATTTTCGCCGTAACGGTGTTATCGTAGATTAATTATCCGCTCTAGTTTGTTTGGAGAAAAATCCGTTTCAAATAGTAATTTAGTCATGTTTTTGCCGACTGATTAAATATAAAATTTGAAGTATCACACTCTACGAGATTATGTAGGGTGACCCTTAAAATTTGTATATTAGTACATCACTGAATGGGTGCCTACCGCTCATTATTGAACAAGTTTTATTCCCTAATAGTTAATTAGGTTAAAATATTTGTTTGGAATTCGAAATACTAAATAAAAATAACTAAAAGCGTATTCATATTCATATTTATTCATGTCATGTCACGATGGTCTATTCAATATTAGTTATTTTCATCGACAAAAAATTGAAAAATTACATTTTCTACTTCTTATGTTATTGGTATTTGTCTATTATTTTGCTTCTAGCTCAGCCTGTCCGCTATCGATGTTTGATTGATAAGTCTACACAGGCGTTTAGTAGTTATTCTTTCTCATATTTATTGTTAAATTTGTGCGAAAATCTATATAAATTCCAAGTTTCTTTCCTTTCATAACCACTGCCTATTGAATAAGCCCAAAGGAAAGCAACGAAATCTTGTTTCCTTTATTGCTTAAAAATAAATCTATTGTTTTTCACTTTCACAATGGAAGGAATTGTTTGGCTTCTCAATGCTGGAGATAAGTTTTTCGAATTTTGGCGTTTCTTATTTCTCAATAATACTCTACCATACTATCTCGATTCGGATTTAATTTTTTCAGCTTTATTTCCTATCTATTCGAATACAAATTTAACGGTAGCATAACTATGACCACTTTTATTGATTCAAATTTCAAAAACCACCATAATTATAATTGTCCCAGTGTTTATTTAACAGATTCTGCACTTTCCCTGAGGTAATCTTATTTGTATTGTGCTTTTGCGCTTTACTATGTATTAATGAACGTGGACGGACTGTTGCTGCTTGAGGAACCAGCAAACGTCGCATTCACTAGCTCATGGATCAGATCAGCTTGTGCCTGATTTACGTTTGTGTTGTCTACCTCTGCGAAGCTCCCTGCACAGTAATAAGACTGTCTCTGAAATTTTGCACCGCATGCCAGCGAACGCCTCCTCATAGTTCACAAAGGTAAAATAGAGGGGCAGATGTTATTTGTTGGATTTGTGTATGACAATATTTACCTACCCATTATGTTCACTACACCCCAACATTTCATTCACCTTGGAACTTGAGGTTGACGACCAAATGAATTTTCTTGATCTAACTATTCACAAGAACTTGTATGGATTACAATTATCAATTTACAGAAAACCAACCCAAACTGATCATGTGATCCCTTTCCACTCTGACCATCCCTACCAACGTAAAATGGCCTCATTTTACTGCTACACCCTCCGTCTTTTGAGCATACCTCTTTCTCCTGCTAACTACAACGAAGAATTAGAAACTCTCCAAATTGCATTTAATAACAATTATGATACCAACTTGAATGAAACCCTGATTAAAAAAACCAAACTGAAGAAAGAAAAATTTTCAAACATACTTCAAAGAAAAAAAAATAAAATATTTTAGTCCCATACATAAATTAATTTCTTAATAAAAAAATCTCCAATATTTTTCATCAACATCAAAGTGACCTAAACATCTCCTACAAGACTAAGAATAATTTGGGTCCTTATTTGGTCAACACAAAGGACAAAATTGACAAACTAGCCAAAAGTGACGTCTATAAGTTGGAATGCGATTCGTACAGTGGTTCTTATTCAGGACGTACTTGTAGACCATTGAAGACACGGATTGCTAAACACTTAAGCAGGCCCTCTTCTGTTTTCGGTGAACTTCTTAGATCCACGAATCACACATTCAGCCCTGACTACAATTTGAGAATTCTTCATCAAAATAGTTTCAACAATTACAATCGCCTAGATTTTCTTGAAGTCATTCACATATCCATTAAGCTAGAAAGTAACCCCTCTCGTCTCAATATCCAAGTCAATCCTAATAGGCCTTACATTCCTCTACATGGGAGATTACATAACTAACCCACTTTGATATATTAAGGTTTGGTTTCGCTGGATTCAGTCGTTGGAAGTTTGTGTAGAAAACTAATTAAAAGGACAACACCTTCCAAGTTTTAATACATTAAAAATCCGTTACTTTCTCCTATCAGTTATTATTATCTCATTTCCCTTTAACCTCATTTTCGAACTGGAGTATTTCATTTTCTTACGTTTGCAACACGCCCGCGACCGGAGTCTCTTTTGTTGGCATTTCTACACTTTTGTGAAGAAAATCTTCGTCTTCTTTTTTTTTCGTTTGTTTTGCCACCTGATGGAGAAAGGACACTGATTTTGATGGCTTCAGTGTTTCTGAGTCTGATTGGCGTATCGTATCATAACCACACTTCTTGGGCAATGAATAGGGGGAAAAGCTGACGCCAGTCGGATTTCAAAAAACTAAAAAAAGCCAAAAATGTGATCCTGCCAGTGGCGGTTCGCCCATATGGGCAAGGTGGGCACCGCCACCCTGGAGAAAAAATGGAAAAATAAAAAATATTTTTAATACAATATTTGAAAAGGCCGCGACCTTGGAAATGTAAAAAAAAAATTGCCCACGGCTGTTTTTTTATTTTTGTTGCCCACCCTTACCACCACGAGCCCCCACTGGATCCTGCTTGGCAGCACCTAATTTCAACTAATAATTGCCTCAAAGGTAATGCCTTCAAGCCTTCCCTCTGTTTGTAATACATTGGGGTCTCAATATATTAGTCCGTCGCAGTTTTTCCAATTTTTATATATTCATATGACTGTAACATAACAACCGTATCCTCTCGATATTTGGTTCGTTACTGCTTCTCCTGTACTCAACCTCGCCGCCTCATGGGACAGAACTTTTTAACAGATCTGTTGTTATCTCTTTTCAGTTAGCACTGGGGATGGTCGGAAAGCCGAAAGAGCTCTGCTGAAATTAGATTAAGTATATTTGCTTGAAGTACTCTAGTTTGATTTTCCTGGTTTGAACATTTTAACAAAATAATGACATTGGTCTTTCAATAAGTTAATTCAATGTCGATGGAGCTAATAATAATTGAATATTTCACAGGAATAAACCCTTGCACGAGTGCGCGCTGTACGACAGGTCAAGAATGCTCAATAAATAAATTCGGGATTGCGGAATGTGCGTGTCCGCCAGAATGTGAGCCTGTAATGCGACCGGTGTGTTCTAAAGATGGCCGAACTTTTCCTTCCGAATGCGAATTGAAGAGAGCGTCTTGTCTATCTCGCACCGCTATTGACATCAATTACACCGGAGTTTGCGGAGAAAAAGGACCTTGCAGCGAGCACAAATGCCAATTCGGTGCTGCGTGTGTAGAGAAAACAGGGTCCGCTCATTGCGAGTGTCCCATTTGCTCGTCCGAATTCAACCCTGTCTGTGGTTCAGACGGCATTTCATATGGAAATGAGTGTAAGCTCCGACTGGAAGCCTGCAAGCACAGACGGGATATAACTACATTATATGGTGGACCTTGTAGTAAGTCTTTATAGGCAATGATAAACTTCACGGGTCGGAATTCATTACATCTAGAAGTAAACTCGTTTGGTAACTATTTTATATACGCCGTTATCTTTTTTCAGTTTTGGCATTGATAATGGAATTAGGATAATTATTCTTAGGTATCTATGTGAACGACGTCATCATGCCACATATTGACCTTATGAGCGATGTTTCCAATTAAGCAAAACGCCGCTCATTTTTCAAAAAACCATATTGAATTCTTCATACCCAACCAGATGTGTTTTTTATCTACTTTAGAAGATCGAATTCCGACCTGTTTTTCAAAAGTTAAAAGGGGTTTCGTGCGTCACAAAACAGTTTTAATTTCAGATGGATGTGAAAACAAAAAGTGCGATTTCTATTCAGTTTGTGAAAGCGATGGGGCTACGGAAGGCCGTTGTGTTTGCCCGCAGAAGTGCATTGACGCGAAGGTAAGCACGCTTTTTCTATTTACTTTGCGTTGGAACACATTCAGAAATATAACAAGTAACACTTTTAATTATCTATTTAATATCTCTACTTGAAATAAAATAAGCAACACGAAGGGGTTTCATCTTTTATTTCACAAGGTTTTAATTTGAAATAGTTTTAGATTAAAGGGAAGGAACGAGCAAAATTTAATTTCTTTTAATGCAAAAGTATTTTTCTCTAAATATAACGAGCTATTTTTATCAAGCTTTATTCCAGAGAAACAATCTAAATCAAAAAGTGTACCCATTTGCTCCGACTTGCTCTGGTCATTTTATGTTGTACTTTCCTAGTTCAATTAGGTACAAAGTAAATTTGACAGGTGTTCGACAAGGCTTGTAGGACAAATACAGTATCCGCCAAAATAAACAGTACTGAACATATAATTTATATCATTTATTAATTTGTATCATCAAAAAATGCAAAGTACAGTAAATAGGGATATTTTACTAAAAAAAAATACTTAATGGCTGAAATTTTGAGGGTGTGTTCGGGGGCATGTCCTGAGTCTAAAACTGAGTTTTCGTATTCGAGGGGGTGGGGGAAGATACTACCCCCTCTTTATGTAGGGTTGAGTTCGTTTTAATTCCTTATCTTCGGTGTTATTGCCCGTACCGTCAAGTCCGAGAGATCAAATTTGTCGGAAATAAAATTATCTATCTAATGATGATAAAATCAAGGTCATAGGACGATTAGGTGAATCACAATGGCCGGTCAAAGGTCAAAAGTGGGGGGTAGTTTTTGGTTTTTCGTGAATACCGTGAAACCGGTAGGTTTTTTCGCATACTGCTTCGATACCATTTCGAAGTACTTAAAATAACCTACAAAATGAGTGCTCAAACACTCATCTACTGTGAATAGTTTGCCGTCAATCCAACGACCAAGTTGACCGCGCGCGCTTAGGAAGCGTCAGAGCAAACAACGCCTAGAGACATTTTCGACGTATTTTTTCCTCATCTATCCGATTAAAATTTTAATTTTTCAAAATTCGTGAAAATAAATGCAAAACGCGAATACCCCTTTCTCAAAATTGGGAGATAGGGGCTAAAACCTTTCCTATATGTCGTAGAGAGCTGAAACTTGAAATTAAACCTTTTTTAGACCCCTTTTACCTACACTTTAAATTTCATCCAAATTGGCCCAAAGCCCTTGGGACGTCATTTTTAGATCGCAAAGTTCTCGAGATATTGCGTTTTTCATGTTTTTCCCCCCTCCAAAATTTTTTAAAAATTCGTCCCCCCATCCATTCGATAGAGGAACTTTTTCTCTACTTCTCCTGAAAATTTCATTTCCCCCCCCCCCCCCCCCCCCAACCCCGCCCGTTTGGGCTGTACAGGGGTCGAAAGTCAAAACTTTGACAGCCCCCCAGGGTTGATGGGGGGGGGGGAGAATTAAATTTGTTTTGGCTCGACAAAATTAAAAATTCTAAGTCCCCTGAAAATTTCAACTTTCTAGCTTATCGGGAAGTACAACATCGGCGCGCGCGGTCAACTTGGTCGTTGGATTGACGGCAAACTATTCACAGTAGATGAGTGTTTGAGCACTCATTTTGTAGGTAATTTCAAGTACTTCGAAATGGTATCGAAGCAGTATGCGAAAAACCTACCGGTTTCACGGTATTCACGAAAAACCATCAAAAACTACCCCCACTTTTGAACTTTGACCGGCCATTGTGATTCACCTAATCGTCCTATGACCTTGATTTTATTATCATTAGATGGATAATTTTATTTCCCACAAATTTGATCTCTCGGAATTGACGGTACGGGCAATAGCACCGAAGATAAGGAATTGAAACGAACTCAACCCTACATAAAGTAGTATCTTCCTCCACCCTTCCCCCACCCCCTCGAATACGAAAACTCAGTTTTAGACTCAGGACATGCCCCCGAACACACCCTCAAAATTTCAGCCATTAAGTATTTTTTTTTAGTAAATGCGATTTATTTGTCTCTATTTACTGTACTAGCATCATAGCGACGCAAAAAAGCTTCATAACGATTCTGCAAATCATTAAAAATATTTATTAAGAGTGGTTACAGAATTTTTTCTGAGACTTGTTTCAAACTTGAGCCTTTATTCCTTCCAAATTCGTATGACCAGAAATAGTGCTCTACTAAAGAAACTGTTTCTTAAGTTGAAAGATTCATAATGACGAAGATTTTAACCTAAACTTAATGTCAACCTCATAACTAATCCCAAGTAAGCGAAATATGATAAATGCAACTTGCGTGCGCAATTACTCAGAGCTCTAGATTTCGGTACTGTTTATTTTGGCGGATACCGTAGTCTCTATGTTTCTTATATGCAAGAATTTGAATTTGGCCCTTATTGTTTGAGTTTTATTCTAGCAAGATATGATTTTGGTATAATTCCGGTTAAATTTGATTAATATCTTGGCCATTGTCTGGAGATTGTTTGCATAGACTTCGTCCGTGACAACGCCCGTAAGAAAACATCCAGAGAGGTTAATTTGCACGATCCTGCTGGCCAAATAATTCCATAATATTGAGAAATGATTCGGCCATCACGATAACGTGTCCTTGATCAACTCGAGGCTTATGTCAGCCAATTTTCAATGATTAAGAATCTGCCATTTGGAAAACATTATAGTTTTCGTTTTATTTGGCCAATGTTTGTTTTTAAACATAATTTCACATTTTCTATTTCTTGTTGAAGTTCCAAAATCAAATCATCCACACCAGAAACACTGTACCAATTTTTTTTTAATCACATTTTCTACAGTTTTATTTGAATTGTACTTTGAGACTACCTTTAAGCTAACAATTAAATTTGGCACTTTTCAATTCAGTTTTAGTTTCAGGTGTCTGATATTTTTAAACAACGTGGAAAGGTTTAACGTAAAATAACATCTTCGACGATATATAGGGAGTTTTCACCTTCACCGGCTTTAGTTTGGTTTAACTTAAACCTGTTTTATTAACTTTCTTGTCTTCTATCACCATTTTTCTCATTTTCCCTAGAAAATCTTTTAAGTGAAATATTTATCGTATCCTACGAATAAATAGATAAATTAACGTACCTATATGAGAAATTAATGTCCATTGAAGTTTTTACATTGCATAAATCAAACATAATTATAGAAAATTTAAACTCATTCCCGCCTTTATGTTCACTTAACTAAGAATAATTATATTAACCCAACATATTGTGGAAGTAATAAGCAATCTAATTTTAGACAACAAAGTGCATTGTTTGGAACTTTGATTTAGACTCACTTACCTCATATAATTAAATAGTTTCATCCCAGTTAGCAATTGAAATTTATGTATGCATAGTTTAACTTTAATTGATTAAATTCTTTTTCTTTATTTTTTTTATAAATTTTACTGTCAAACATGACATCGTTATGCCTCTCTGAATGGATTTCGACAAAACGATACTCAAAACGCTCTAATAAATCACTTACCAAATTCGAATAGAAAAGCAGAACTCGAAACCAACACCGGACGCATGAAATTGCGCTAATGAAAAATAATTGAATTAAAATTTAACCATGTATATTTGAGTCACGTACGAATTTATTGAAATTACGTATTTATATTCCGCGCTGGATCTCATATTACCCTCAAGTGCATAGATGATAGTTAAACACATTTGTTTCCCTCAGCTCAACAACGGTTCGGTCTGCGGAACAGATGGAGTCACTTATACGAGCGAATGCGAACTTAGGAAGAATTCCTGTAACACAAAACAATACGTTCTGCTTGCTTATAAAGGAAACTGCGGTAAGTGTTTGAATTTCTTCCGTATAATTTAGTTTTATTTGGTTATTGTTTATATTCAATCTGTGCAAAAGGCAATTGATATATATAGTATTTCAAGTTACGTTTTTGTTGTCAGAATTTCCAGTTGGTAGGTTGTATTAAAAAAAAACTAACCTTGATGTGAAAAACGTATGCACAAACGTGTCAATACGGGAAAACGACTTACTTAAAAAAAAAACACTTTACATTTTTACATATGGAACAGATCTGATAGAATGTTGCTCGGAAAAAACGTGTTTCCCAGAGTAAGACCAATTCCTTACACAAAAAGATGGAATGTTTATAGAATTACTAGCAACACCAGTCATGGACGACAATTCAACGTGCAAATCTAAGACCGAAATTATGGCTGAGATGATGTCGGAGCTTCTTTCGTAATATGGATCAGATTTTTCAGCTACATCAACGGAATGATGTAAAACTTTCAATAGCAAATGAAATAGATGCCAGTTCACTGTTGGATGTACCCATACCTTGGAATCCATCTGTCAGTGAATGCAACCATTGACGCTGAAATCCAACATTGGTTGAAGTGTGCTAGCTCGGCGTTCGGGCGGCTTCTAGAGAGAGTCTCCAACAATCACGACATGAGCGCTGAGACCAAACTTGGCGTCTCCAATGTAGTTGCAGCACACACTAGCAGTGCCTAAGAAGGATCCTTCTGATTGAATGGCAAAATCGAAGAATGGACATTTCCCACAATTTTGCTCCACTAATTTTAATTTTTGCTCCACTACACTGGAGAGACTATTGGCGTATTCGACTACCCAGCGCTGGCTCCGATCAAGTTCGAAAAATGATGGTGCAATTGCACTGAAATCAAGAGCGGGTATGTGGCGATTCGATCGCGCGCTGGGTCAGTGCGAATTGTCAAAAAAAGTGAACTGGCTTCGTGAAAATTTGAGTTGAAGCGTTCGTGTGTGCCCCATTATTGCACTTGGATCTTGAGCCGTTTTCTCGCATCCACTTTTTTCAAAACAGTTTTGAAACGGGCAATGGTGTTAACATTGCGCGAGAAAACGGCTTTAGATTGCGTTTACTTTTTTCTCCAATTTCTCCTAATCTCAAAGTTCAAATTGATAAATTTTGAAATTTATTTCGGATTTCCGATTTAATTTCCGGCAATGTCTATTTTAAAACTCACAGAAATAGTATACCCACTAAGTACTGCTACTTCTACTTGATGATAATACATCTGCACTTCTGCAGCTAATAATAACAACAATTTCCTCTTTTTATTATTCATATTTCATTTCATACAAACTAAACAAACATTCAAAAACGAAAAATAAATAATTTGAAAGACAAAAGACGGATTGAAAATTTGAGGTTATTTTTTCAAAAAATCCAGTGCAATCTACTTGAACCGCCAAAAATTACAGTTCCAAAAAGTTCGAACGCTGGACGAACCACGCTTACAATCCGAACATAAAGTATTGCTCTGCCCGCGCTTAGCTCGGGTAGTCGAACACGAGAAATGTTTGCTCGCTTATGAGCTGAATCAACACGAACTTGAATTATTGCACTGCACTCGCAAAATGCGAGCCGAGTGCGCACTAGTGCCGGTAGTCGAATACGCCATATGTTTCTTAATAATTACGGCGGGAGGGCTAAATTAACGCTAGCCCCCCCCCCCCCTTCCCCCCAAGAAGAATTTCAATATTTTGGCATAGACATTCTTTGATCGATTTCTTACAATCCGATTATTTTAGTTTTTCGATAGTTTGCGAGTTGTTAGAAATAATACCTGAATCCTGAAAAATAGGCAACCAGATATGTGCACACTTTTTCATTTTGAGAAAAGTGCAAAATATCGAAAAACTAAAATAATCGGATTGTAGATAATCGATTAAAAAATGCCTATGGCACATTTGAGGCAATTCTGATATGAGGTTTTTTTTTTTCTTTTCCAAAACGGATTTGGAAAAATCTATCAGATTTCAATGTCATTAATGCCTCCTTATTAGGGAATTTTCTATTGGTTATACATTTAGTGGGCAAGTGTATTTGTGTCTCTTTCTACTACTAGGTATGTAACCAAACAATTATAGAAATATTTTGTTTTTCACTGGTTCTTTGAATAGAATTCGATTATAGCGGAGCTACAATATAAATATACTCGATGTCACTCAAAAATAAAAAAATTTACTGAATGAACTGGGAGAGATTCTTGAGAGCCCTGTAGGTCATTCCAGATAATGCAGCAACATTTTCACTAAGGCGAGTAGGAGATATTTTTGGGAGCTCTTAAGTTATTCCAGGTAATGCAGTAAAACTTGCCAATCATGAAGCAAAATGGATTTTTTTTTTTTACGGATATGCGCACTCGCAAGGAAATGTCCAATCACGCTCGAGAAGCGGCAAGTGCGCGGAAATGTCGGTGTATGTTGGTCTTGAAACGGTTCAGGTTGTAACCTGCAGGGAAAACCGTCGCAGGGAGTTTATTCCACAGCGATGCTGTTCTCCAGAGATATGAATTCTGATATAATGAGGTTCTTGGTGCCTCTAGTTTGACAGTAAATTCATGGTTACCGTCTGTTTGACGGGTTCGCCTGGTAGGTGCTACTCTCGGTGGAATCATACGTGCCAACTCTTCAGAGCATTTTCCGTGATAGTACCTGTAGAAGAGAGATAAATCGCCCACAGATCTGCGATGTTCGAGACCATCCAAGTTACGAGTAAGTGCGGGGTCATTGATCAGCTTGATAGCTCGTTTTTGCACGGTATTCAAAAGCATTAAGGTATGTTTGGGTGCTGCACTCCATATATGTGAGCAGTACTCCATAGTTGGTCGAATCTGGGCTTGGTAGAGTGTCAGCAATTGGTTTGGTGTGTACAGATGTCTTATACGAAATAGCACCCAGCTTTTGGGAGGCCCTTTTAGCAATATCTGCCACGTGACTGTGCCAAGACATGTTGGTCTCTGCAGTAACCCCCAAGATGTTCAACTGACTGTAATGTGACAGCACTTCCAGATAGCATGATATTTGGCTCACCGGTGCTGGTCTTTTTTGAAAACAGAGCTGCTTGGGTTTTCTGCGCGTTGAACTGTACAAGGTTTTTGTTACCCCAGTCCTCTATTATCTCCAGGTCGTTATTTATCTGCGATATTTGAGTTAGTCTAAGATGATGGAATTCACGTGCGGAAAGACCTGTGGGTGGTATGAGTGAGGAGACTACATTGCCATCGTCTGCAAAGCAATAAAGTGGATTTACTGTTTTATCTATGAGGTCATTTATGTAAATCAGGAGAAGAGTTGGCGAAAGCATTGCTCCCTGTGGCACACCAGCATTTATTTGGTAAGAGTTGGAGTTCTGGCCATCCAGTGCAACATAAATGGATCTGTCCTTTAGGTAACTTTCAAACCAAGTGCAAAGTTTCGGCGATAATCCCATTGCTTTGAGCTTGTTGAGCAGATTTTCATGCCAAACTTTGTCGAATGCTTTAGATATATCTAAGGCAATTGTTCTTGTTTCACCCCGCAACTCAATCGCTTTTTGCCATAAGTGAGTGACGTATGTAAGTAAATCTCCAGTTGACCTATATTTTCGAAATCCGTATTGCTTATCGTTGATAATTTTGTACTTTTCCAAGTACTTGGTTAGGTGATTGTTCACAACTCTTTCCATTACTTTTGATATCACCGGAAGTAGAGCAATTGGTCTATAGTTTAACGGATCTGTCTTTTTTCCTTTCTTTGGAATGGGTTGTACTGCGGCAGACTTCCATGATGATGGATATACTCCTTGCCTGTAAGACAAATTGAATAATTTTGCGAAAGTTGGGGTGAGTTCGTTGGCGCAATTTTTGAGTACTATTGCGGGAATGCCATCCGGACCCATTGCTTTGTTTGTATCCAGCTATTTTAGGGATTTTCGTATTTCTCTGTGACAAAAGGGTACCTCTGGCATACTATGGGAAACCCTTTCAATGAAGGGTGGAGTTTTTCCGTTTGGCACTGTTAGGTTGGAGTTGGAGGAGAACATTTGGGCAAGCATATTGGCTTTTTCCTCTGATGTTGTGGCTAAGTGATTATTTTTATCTGTAAGTGGTGGTATGGATGACTTGGTGAAGTTAGATCCAACAGCTTTTGCAAGAGACCAAAAAGACCTAGAACTACTTGGACAATTGAGCAACCTGTTTTTTATTCTTTGATTGTATGTTTCTTTAGCGGAGTCAATAGTAATTTTGCAACTATTTCTGGCTTCTATAAATTCTGTGTGGTTTTGAGCGGTTTGTTGTCGTTTCCAAAGGTTATATGCTCTGTGTTTTTTCTGTACAGCCGTTTGACACTGGCTGTCGAACCAAGGTTTTGCATTAGCTCTACGTTTAGTTGTATGTGGGATAAATGCGTCCATTCCAGATAGGATTACTTGTGTTATTTCATTACAGCAAATAGTGGGATCAGCTGTTTTAAAGCAAACCTCTTGCCATGGAAAATCCAGGTAATACTGTTTTAGGTCATTCCATTTTGTCGATTTATAGTGCCACATTTTACGAGGAAGTGGTTGTAGGCTTGGTGGGATGAGCATTTCGCACTTTGTTATTATAAGTTTATGATCGGACGAACCAAGTGGAGCATCTACTTGAATTGTGTACGAGTCAGGATTGGTGGTTAGGAACAAGTCTAAAAGCGCTGCAAAACTTGGAGAATAAAATAAGCCTAATGGAACTCGCAAAAATATTTACTGGGGGGGCTAGGAGAGATTCTTGGGAGCTCATTCCAGGTAATGGAGCAAAACTCGTCGATCATGGGGCAAAATAGAAAAGCAAAACTAGGAGAATAAAATGCGCATTTGAAAATATTGAAATTTTAAGTTGTGGCGGGGGGGCTAGCCAGGAGGGGCGAAATTAACGCTAGCCCCTAGTGGAGCAAAAATTATAATTAGTGGAGCAAAATAGGAGCAAAATTATAGGATATTGTTTCCTTTAGAAAAATGGGGGAGCTAACTGACCCATCGTCGAGTAGTTCACGACGGACCACAAACTTTTGAAGAACAGCAACGCAGACACCAGATCGAAAATAGGGGCCGCAGGAAGGAGCGAATAAACAGAAGAGAGACAATCCTGCCAGAGACTCGGTGTGCCAAGACTGTGAAGGAGTGTGATTGTGTGAGGCTTCAGAATTGGACACATCAACACGACCGTTTACAGAAAAATATTCAACTCAAACCGAAGTCGAATTACAAAAGAGAAGCTCATACCGAGAAAACTTAAATCCAGGAAATAAAAAACAAACAAAAAATTTACACAAGACTCAGAAACGGAGGTTACTCGGAAACTTATGGTTGAATGGAGTGATTTCGTGAACTCAACATGATACAAGAATATTTTTCCCTTTTCATGTCTGGCATGCCGTGATTTGCTTGAATCATAATTTAAAAAAATAATAATATTTAGAAATATAAAAAATAGTGTACATTTTTTTCAGTATGCTAACCATATTTCGCGATCTTCACACAAGTCTAAACTTTAGACTGAAAATATGAGGCAGGCCACCTGCCGGTAAAAAAATAGATTTTCATAAAACATAATTATGTGTCCTTTTGGAAAAATATGTTTCTGTCATCAAAACAGCACTGTCGGCAAACTTTTGTGTCCATACTGGCAGCATGATTTTATGAATATATGTTAATAATTGTTTTACTTTCGGGGTTGTGAGCAGAGATTATTATTTAACACGACTAAAAATATATTATATAAAGCAAAATTTTATTCATACAAGCATAAAATGCTGTTTGACGACGGGAGTTTTATCCGAATACTAAAGAATATTAAATTAGCCGTGTTCAGGTGCAAACAAAATTTTTAGGAGTAGTTTAGGTGCAATCCAATTGACAAATCAAACAATAATTTCCAGATTTATGCGAGAACGTGGAATGTAAATACGGGGCCCGATGCGAAGCTGGAGAATGTGTATGCCCAACGAATTGCGATGGTTCCGGTGACGAGCCTGTGTGTGCATCAAACATGGTGACGTATCCAAACGAATGTGAAATGCAAAAAGCCATGTGTCAAGATTCGCCCAGCTACAGAGGACCTTTCAATGTAGTTTTTTATGGAGATTGCAGAGACAGATTTCCTATCGGAAGTAGTAAGTTTCGGGTTCTATTATTCTTTTTCTAGTTGTGTAGATGATTAATGACTCACATTAACATATATGTTTATGTTGTTAGTTTTAGTGGAAGATAGATTTTTGTCTGAAGGTTTGGTTTAATTTAAATGGATATCGTCTTCCATAAAAGCTAACGAAACAAAAGTGCATTTCACATTGGACGCATAATCCACTTAGTTTAGCTAACTTCACGCTATTAACTTCTAATGGTGCCCCTATAGCTACGCTTGGCTCATTGACCAACGTTCCGCCAACTGAAGTGGTAACAGTGCCAACGGAGAACATCATTACCAATATAAGTAGCAACGCAAAGGAGGCATGCAGAGATATACATTGCGACTTTGAGGCTACTTGCGAGCTCGGCCCCGATAATTTTCCCCGGTGTACATGCAGATTTGACTGTGCCAGTGCAGTGTTAGCGAATCCAGTCTCGAATAAGCCAGTGTGCGCTTCCGATCTAAGGATTTACTCCTCGATATGCGCGATGAAAATGGAAGCATGTCAAAGACAGGAAGAGTTGCGACTGAGACCGCTAGAGCTTTGTCAAGGTTTGATTAACTGAACACCCAACGCTTCTATCTATTAATTTGCTTTGCCTTCCGATAAAGTTTCGCTTTAAACGTAAGAGCTTTTGGCCGAAGCAGTCTTTACTAGCGGTTTGCCGCGTTTCAGGACACTTTGCTCGACAAATTAGATATAATTATATTTGTTCGCGTTATCGCCTAAGAACTAATTACTCTTCGGCTGTAATTTCAACGTCGACATTTAGATTTCTATGGCAAATGTTGTTTTAAAGGATAATTGCTGAAATCATTTCAGTTTCGCAAGAGAAGCAGCTGTAGTAATCGGATTTCAAATTTATTTTAAATTTAAATTAAATTTATACAAACTGAATCCTTTAAATAATTTTTTTTTCTATTTCCTAGTGCCTCAAGACATTTTGGATTTTGAAAAAAAAAACATATAAATAAGATATACGACGTCATAAGATCATATTTTATGAATCAATAATACCAATTTTACAATTTAGTTGAGAGATTGTTGATTAATTCTCTGCTTAAAAAAAATCACGATTTGTTTTCCCATAGAGCATAAATCATCCCAATCGAGCGGATTAAAAAAAAAGGTTAGATTTGCACTCAGCAAAAATAAACATTATTTTTTCTGAATAAGCAAATCGTCGGTAAAAAAAACGGATATTTGGTTATAATTATTGTCAGATTTGATTTTTTTTAGATTGTTTTTTGTACTTGAAACCTTTATTACGCGCACATTTATATTTTTTTTCATTCAAAATAATATTTCTCTTTTAAACTTTATATTTAAATTCTACCTATTTATGCTTCAATTTTTTATTTATCTTTTTATCAAATAAATTTATTAGTTTATTGTTTCTATTTCCAACTTAATTGTTTTTAGTTAAATGTTCAAATAAAACGCACCTAGCATAAAACGTTAAACTTTATAAGCCAATTATTTACCAGGCTTGTTGACATAAAACAATGATAATACCTAAATAGTATTTGAACGACTACAACGGTAATTGAATTTTTATTTACAAAGGTCAATAATGGACATGTACCAGGTGACATATCCTTCAACCCAGTTTTTTTAATACGCTAGCAATACTAATTTTGTAGGACCAATAAGATATCAAGGATGTGTCGTCTCGTATATCGTATAGCTCGAAGGCTTCAATTTCTAAAAATTGGATCCGATATCTAGCGTTGACTTGCTTACGGAAAAACTTCCCCCAAAAGGAAAGCTAATAAGTAGTTCTCCTGCCTTCTTTAATTCCTTTTTCTAATGTAATCCGATTCGTTTTCCAACTGATCTCAAGTGATCGGGGATTTATCAAATAAACACATTTCGCTTAACTGCTTTAGTGAAGACTGTTGGGTCCAAAGTAGATGAATGGCGCTTTTTTCATTAACTTTGAATAGATTTAAAGCAAAAGAGTCACAATTTCTGTTGGTTTTCTTGTTGGCGTATAATTAGAAAAGCGATTTTTTTACTCTTATTTATAACTTTTATCGGGACTATAGAAAATCTATAATCTCAACACGGATGAGAGTGTCAACATAAATCTGATTATTTTCCAGACTAAACGTGCCTTTTAAAATGCGAAAAACAGAGTTTACGGTAGCTGGATAAAAAAATGGTCGGTTTGTTAAATGGTTGTTAAAAAAATTTTGTTTTATTTCAGCGACTAAATAAGATAAGTTTTTGGGGGTTTAGTTTGAACATTCTGTAGAAAGCTTGATCCTATTATGCAATGGAGAAATTCTACTTATGTTTGATTAAGACATAAGCTGAAAGTCTGCAAGATGGAATAGGAAAACACAAAATTCATCCACCTGTCAAATATTGGTTACAACTTCGACTGTGTAGTTGACAAAGATCTGAAGTCTTGCTAAAATTTAAAAGGGTGACTAATTGTTCGCTGGAGAAAGATTTTGGGTTTCTTTTCAATATTTTTTGCTTTGCCAAACCGAATAAGTTCTATAACAATCACATTAGTAGATCAGAAATTGTACTCTTCAAATCATCAACCAACTGCTTCACAATTTAATCATTGCTCGCATGTACCACCGTCAGCATTTTCATCAGTTAAGTACTTTCTGTTTTGTGTATGAGAATAAATTCCTGTTGATGTAATGATGTGAAAATAAATTGGGGATCAAAATGTTTGCACCTTTGTTGGTATTTACTCTCTTTGTTGCTCTTCGAATCCTCATGATAATTGCACAAATTCCTCATTGGTCAGGTCAGTTTCTACTTGGAGATGTCGACTTATTTCATTCAGAAGATCAAGGATATTGTTCGACAACCCAAAGACATTCTACATTCAGTTAAGTTCCGATGCTGCTTCTTCCCCTACGATCCAGAGATGGCATAAGACTGCTTGAAGACAGTACCTCCATTAATTCTCGTTGGAAGGAACACTTTCAAGAACTTCTCAACAGAGAATCACAAATTAGTGATGAAATCTTCAACGAAATTCGAAACCAATACAACAAGAACTTAGCAAGACTCCTAGATTAGAGGAGGTTGAAAAGGCAATCAGACAACTAAAAAACAATAAGTTAGCTAGCACTGACGGCATTCCTGCTGAGTTCTTCAAGCAAGGAGGCCCCACACTAAGTGCCCAAACCCACATCCTAATAAATAAAATATGGGTTACTGAGACCATTATATAGTTGCCATTTTTAAAAAAGGATACAAGGCTCAATGTGAAAATTACAGAGGAATATCTTTACTTTCTGTTGTGGGAAAGATACTTGCCAGAATATTATCAAATCATCTAATCCCAACTGCCGAAGAAAAACACCAAGAGATAGAGTGTGGCTTTATGGCTTTAGAACCATCTGAGGTACAATGCAAGAATAATGAAAGAAAAATCCAGAGATCAAAATCGCTATATCACTATATTGGCCTTCATAGATTTAGTGAAATCATTTCATTTAGTCAACGAAAAAGCTCTTTGGAAGACATTGGCAGAGGTTGGGTGATGTCAAAAGTACTTCCAGATACACCGTCTGCTGCATCATAATATGAATGCCACCGTCCTAAGCAACGATGGACAAGGAAAATCTTTTCAAATAACTACAGGCGTTAAACAGGACTGTATTATTCCACCCACTTTATTTTTTCTATTTATAGGATCCATACTTCTTCTGTCGAGGGTCACCTGCCATCAGGAGTGGAAATCCTGTTGACGGCGGCTTATTCAACCTAAACAGGTTACGAGCCAAGACTAAAGTATCAACGACATCGTTCATTGAACTTCAATATTCGGATGATAACGTCGTGATGGCCAATAGAGAGGAAGATTTTCAGGCAATTATCAATGCATTCAACCAGGCATACAGTTGAATCGGCCTAGAAGTCAACAACTTTAACAAGACGCAGATTCTGCACCAACCTGCATCGGGCACTAATCCCCAAGCCCCAAATATAACTATAACTGATCATTCCTTGCAGAACGTAGAATACTACCCATACGTTGGGAGCCATCTGGCAGCAAATGCAACCATTGACACTGAAATCCAAGATTGTTTTCAACAATCATGACGCTGAGACCAAACTTCGCGTCTACAATGCAGTTGTAATACCAACACTAAAATATGGCTGCGAAACATGGAACACCTACAGAAGACACATAAAAAGCCTAGAAAAATACCACCAGCGATGCCTAAGAAGGATCCTACGGATTGAATGGCAAGACCGACGGGCGAACATTAGTATTTTAGAGGAGGCCAAAACAACTAGCATGGAAATCCTCATCATTAAGCACCAATTTCGCTGAACAAGTCACCTCGTCCGCATGCCGGGAACACGTCTTCCATGACAGATTCCCTACAGTCGACTAAAAAAGGGAAAACGAAATCAAAGAGGCCAACAAAAATGTTACAAAGATGTTCTTAACGAAAATATGGCAAAGGGCCGCATCGATACCAACAACTGGGAGACGACGACAAATGATAGGCCCTCATAGCTTTGAGTAGTCCACGACGGACCACACTTTTTTGAATAAGAGCGATGCAGACACGTGACCGAAAAGATGGACCGCAGGAAGGAGCAAGAGAACAGAGGTAGAGACAATGCTGTAAGAGGCTTAGTGTGCCAAGACTGTGGAAGGGTGTGCGGCTCCAGAATTGGTTTATATAGCCATCAGAAAACGCACAATCGACGAGATTAAGAATAGAATAGGAGATAATCATACTCGGTATCGAGTGATCGTCTATGATGATAATGATGATGCTGTTTCTTGTATATTTTCGAAAAATATATTTGTTAACAACAAGCAGCCCAAGATGATGAATACTGCTTTTTAATTAGATCTAAAGAAAGTTTACTTACGCTAGAAAAAAACCATTGAAGTATCTGGACATTGAACTCTCTAATTCTACAGTCCAATGTATTACAATTCAACGGTTATCACAATGAAATACGCCAGATACCAGAAAGGCCATATATGGATATAGGCCTGTTCAAATTATTGCGTTTCTAATTTTGTCACTTGTCAGCATTTGCATACAGAAAGAAAAATGAACAAGCAAAACGGCGTTCAGTTAAAAAAAGGGAAACTTTACAATAAGTAATGAGAAGTTTCAAGTTTTAGTCAAATGCTCATACTGAATTTTGATCACAGTTTTTTCTCCAGCATATTAAAAGAATGCCACAAAAAAAACTCTCTTTTCTAATATAGCCAAATTGACTGGGTGCATTCACCAGCGGTACGGATTTATAAACCTCACCTCGAAACTTAAATTAAAATTAATGAACCTGTCACGTTAGGGTTTATTATATGAAACTAACAGAGGGTCGGGACTTTAAATCCGACCAGGCTGGCCCCCTTTTTTGTTTCATTTGTAGTGTTTTAATAGGGATGGAAGTGAAACCGTGCAAAGGCGAAAAACCGGTTACAGACCCTGTTACAGGAAGGGAGCTGGATTGTGGTAACGGCCCTTTTAGGCAGGACTGTCCTTCTGGCACTTACTGCCATCAGACAACCCGATTTTCGCGTTGCTGCTTTAAAGGTAAAGTTAGATTTGAATTATTCAATTAGTCAAATAATAGAAAATTGTTATTTCTGTAAGAATATAGCTTTTGAAATAAAAAAATACATTTTACAAGGTAGACAATTTCGTAAACACTAAAGAAAGCCAATTATGAAGAGACATTCGTTATAGATTTCTTGAAAGAAACTATTTCTATCCGAAATAAAATTTTCTAATTAAGAAAAAAACCTTTTCGAAGACTTGCTTTAATTAGTTAGTTTTACAAAGAATTGCTTGTTTAGAAATATTAATAACTAGCGATGCCGTCGACAAGTTTTCTCAGCAAAGTTTTGCCAACTTTTATTAAAATATTCCGTGGCCTGGTTTAATCCTATACAATATTTAGCTTGAGAGCTTTTTTTACTTCGATAAAGTTTGCAGTAATGTTTGGTTAATTAGTGTAAACGCAACAAACTCTGATACCATTATATAAGGTCCAAAGGTTCAATTGGCACTCTCAGGCCAAATGTGTTTTTTAATATTCGAAAAATATTTTTTTTAAATTTAGGATCCATTGAACAATGTTAGGTTTAAGTAACCGCTAAGAATTGAAGGAGCAAGTAAAGCATAGTGCTATCATTATTACATAATTTTCACATGTATGACACCCAGAACTTTTACATAGTTCCAAGTTTATCACTTTCACCGTAGCATATATTTTAAACTTTTATAAATTTATACAGGAATCTCAATAAATTTTTTATTTTTTTTTTCTTTTTGTATACCTAGACTTGGCTATCATTTTCAAAGTAATAAACTTTCCAGATAAAAACTTCATCGAGAAAAAGAGTTGCGAAGACAGCTGGTTTGGATGTTGTCCCGATGGTAAAACGTCTGCAGAGGGGCAAAATTTCGTGGGTTGTCCATTGTCGTGCGGTTGTAACCGACTTGGGTCCTATTCGGAATACTGCGATGTAAAAACTAATAAATGTAAATGCAAACCTGGAGTGGGTGGAGACAAATGCGATCGTTGCGAACCTGGATTCTGGGGTCTACCGAAAATATCCTCGGGATTTAAAGGATGTTTACGTAAGAGTTTCTTTGTTTTTATAATTCTGCTTTGTCGGTGAAGGGGCTGACTGAAATTTATCTTGCGGAGTCTTTCAGTCAAAGGCATTAAAACAAATGGCTATTCTTTTTCTTTTTTTTTTATTGTTTTTTTTTGCTTTCTACTTAAAGTATTATAAATTAAAAAAAAACAACCGAGATAAATTTTAGTTGGCACGATGCATTTTTTTGCACAACTGAAATACATGTGAATGTGTTCATTCATATAGCGGACTTTACTCTAATAAACAATTTAGAATTATTGATGTCCTGACTATTCTTTCTGAAGTTACTCACACTAGTCACACTCAAGGTGGGCAGAAGCTCTCGTCATTAAATTTGCTAAAAGGTTGCAAAATTGGTGAAACATTCATTGTGGCGTTACTATGACTAGCGTCGGTAAGTATTTGTTTGAAAAAAAATCTAACCGTAGGTACTTGCGCACGCCACTGCGAATGTCATTTGTTGTCATCAACTTGACGTATCGAATGTTTACCGACCAGAATTAGGATGATGATATCAAAACGCACTTTGCGCACATCGTAGGAAACGTGCATATCGATTGGGTATGGCCGAATGTCTGACATCTGAGATTGACAGTTTTGGATTTCTTTCTCGAATTGTATTTGCTCAAGTAGTACATGAGGCTTTGAGATCTTCGCGTTCTTCCTATTGACGAAGCGTCTCTGAGTTGGCTGACTTTTGCGTTAGCGAATCCTAAGAATCTGCATGTGTTCATCCCTAATATCCTGGACTGGCACGACAGAAACTGCTTGTGTCGATACAGCGTGAACCTCCTTACATTCTTGTGATTGTATTGCCGTGAACAAGAGTCTTGATAAGCACCCTTTTATCTGTTCATACTAACATGGAAAGGTTGAGGGGGTAGTCAGAAACAGGAAAATACCAGTGGCGTACACTCGAACAACCTACGAATGGAGAACCATAAGAAAATATACAAAACTGTATGATTATTCAAAAACTGTACATAGGATTGAATTCATACTCACATGGAAAGGTTGAGGGGGTAGTCAGAAACAGGAAAAAACCAGTGGCGTATACTCGATCGACCTACGAATAGAGAACCATACGAAAATATACAAAACTGTATGATTATTCAAAAACTGTACATAGGAAACTGTATGATTATTCAACACCTTAGTGCTCTCTGAATCTTCTCCTTCTTGGATGACCTCGTCGTAGATTTTATCGTAAAGGGGTAATTTCGAGTCTTTCGAGTATCTGCATTTTCTCGATCAATTTCTGGACTTGAAACGTAGATCAAACGAACTATTTTCCTGTATTGAAGATAAATGAAAATCAGATGACGACTCATGGAGGAGTTACTTCGACGATCTCGAAAATGAACGTAGAAGAATATGCTCATAAGCCGAGCATTACAACAAAACTTTGATAATCTGGTACCTACGTTTCCATTACCCAACTATAAGTATGACCTAAAATTTGCCAGCACATGTCTTATAGCATCTGACATGACAATCCTTTCTAGTTACGAGGCTCTTGACTTTACTTAGTTTTTTAACTCGCAAAAACAGATCAGAAAAGATTTTTTTTTTTTATCATGCATCAAACTATTTATTAGAGTAAAGTCGACTGTGATGTCTATCACCTTATAATGAATATGACCAGAAAATATTTTTAGCGTGCGGTTGTTCTATATTCGGTTCGGTGAGGGATGATTGTGAACAAATGACTGGTAGATGTGTATGCAAACCGGGAGTTCAGGGCCAGAAGTGTACGATTTGTACCAGCCACAACAAACTTCTCAGTCCAAACGGATGCGTCTCAGGTAGGAATATTCGAAATAAGTGACTGATCTCTTTAATTTTTGCCGACCTCATGCACTGCACTGGAGATTTATATCAAATGAGATATAATTAGTTTTTCAAAAATCTTATTTGTAAATAAACTATAGTTGATTCGTCTAAAGTTAAAGAAACCAGTGGTAATAAGTTCAAGAATACATCATTAGGAAAGATAGGTAACAAGCTAATTTGATTTATTGTAAAATTCTATAGCGGATTTGACGACGATTCCTCGAGCTACGTGCAAAGAATTGACTTGTTACTTTGGGGCGACATGCGTTGAAAGGAACGGAGTCGCGATGTGCGAATGTCACCATGAACAATGTCCTCAGGACAATGAAGTGCAAGTACGTATACTGAATATATTTTTTGTAACAGTGAATTTTGTGAGAATCTGATTTTGCTATTCTTATGTTTATTAAGTCATTTTTATTATTTAGATTTCCCAATGTGAAACAACATTCACATCAAATGAAATATATTATTATTAATATGTAACCCGAATTTTATATTAGTAAAAATATCAGGTAGAAAAAAAGTTATTTATTTTTAATCTTGAAATATTATATCTGTTAGTGGGTTTATTTTGACTTTGCAGCGAGTAGACGTTCAAGGAATAAGAAAGCTATTTTTGGGGCCGATACCAAAGGGGAAAAAGGCATTCTATTGTATTAAATGAGGGCACGTTTCTCATTTCTCGTCTGGATTTTATTTCGTCAATTATTTTTGGATAACTGAAAACTAGCCAGAATTACAAAAATAGATTTTATTCAATAGGTATTTTAAAACAATTCAACAATTTCATATCTATTGAAATTGGGAATACATGATATTTTGCTTCACGCAAACATATTATTAAGCCTGAATTTTAATATTTGATAGCCTCCAGTTTATTGATTCTAAAATAAAACCCTTTTTAATTTAACATTATTGGAATTATTCAAAAATATTAACAGTTGGAAAAAATTAAATCGGAAAATAAAGCACATTTTTATTTACATTCGGCAAACTTTTTTGAAATGAAAAGCCTCAATTATCTATAACCCTTAAAAAAATATAGGAAATGAGTTATTACCGAATTGGCAAAATTAAATTCTGGAAGCAGATTTTATTAATCTTTGCGAAATTAGCATGTCGGTAACTGCCAGATTCTTTCCGAAACCAAATTGGTCTGCCCAAATTAAAAAATTCCCTGCGCGGACAAACTCCATTTGCCTTTGTCAAAGCTTTTCCAGAATTCATAATTGCCACTTGACTGCCAAGATCGAAACAGGGTCCTTTTTTTTAAATAAAATCCCGACTGGTAAAATAGTTAAATGGACAAAAATCACTTTGTTCTAGATTGTGTGTGGCAGTGACGGGCAAACCTACAATTCTCCTTGCGAATTAAATGAACTAGCTTGTCGATTACAAAAAGATATTGTCATTCAAGCATTTGGAACTTGTAAGGGTAAGTGGACTGGATCATGAAAAATATAAGTGGGTAGATACTTATTATTTTCAATTTTTATTAATACTCACAGATAAATATGGTAAGCATTTTTAAGTTCATTGAATAAAAATATTTTTATATTTTTTGAAAGTCTCGATAACATCTTATTGATAACATGTCATTGAAATATATTTTCTTACAGAAGACATGTTTCCCGGTACTGATTGGCCCTTACGCCGTTATACACCCCTTCAGTTTACCCAACCTGACGAAGTTAACTCCCCTTTATCAAAATCTACCAGGCATCTTTTGGTTCCCGACTCTAGGTTTTACTATGGAAGTGCTACTAGACCTTTAAGTTCTGACGTTAAAGATACCAGGGGTGAGAAAATTACTAATTCACTTTAATTTCACTAATCGATGCATTAACAATATTTAGTTTTACCCATGTATTTATAATATGACAAGTAGATTGTGAAATATTGTCACTTAATATATAAATTAAATGTTTTGTTTGTTTAATGACTCAGGTAGAATATTTGCCCAACATGTTCCTGGTGGTTTGTACGATAATTCAATAAACTAACAATAAAAAGGTATTTAGTTTTTTTCACGTAACTAACATCTAACATTTGTTCATAATTTAAATGTTTAACGGTACTGCTCCTTACATAGATAAGTATATATGTATATATAAATATAACCAGATTTCCGAATTAAAATATAATAGTTCCCAGAAATTGCTGTAAATCGTACAAAACTCCAATTGAACCGTTCGACATATTTCTAGATGGAGATATTGCTCTAGCTTACAGACCTACTCCGGCAACCGTCAGAGTTACAGCATTATTAGGGGATCTCTGTTCAAAAAGTTCGGATTGTATGATATTGAATAGCTATTGTGTGGCGGGAGCCTGCACTTGCTTACCAGATTATTACGCCTCAAACGATCGGCAAAGTTGTATAGGTAAGATCTTGTCCCTATTGAATTGTTTTGACATCAATAGAATCGAATTTATTCGTTTGACCACAGTAATGCGACCAAAATAGCGGCTATTTGTTGGATTAGTTTTGTTTTGACTTTTGTTGAATGTTTCGAAGTGTTTCGGTGTTAAAATCGAAGAAGCTATTACATGGATTTTTGCGGTGCTGCTTTGAATTAATAGATAAATAACAAAAAAACAATCGTGTGCAGCATCGTACTCGTGTTAAGAAGTGAAGCTTCTATCACTCATTCAACTTTAAGACTTAGCACGTGAGTCGTGGTATAGACAAAAGACCACACAAAAGGAAGACGCACATCTGTAGTGACGTCACAAGGGTATCGGCGCTTGACAATAATAGGCAATCCTCTTTTCTCATATTCCTTGGTTTGTGTCAATCGTTCGTCGGCTGTCATTGTCAAGTATCGTCACACTCCAAATGTTATGACTATCTTTCTTCTCTCACGTTTAACGAAATTTCTCGAAACGTGACGTTTCCTTGAACACAATGATAAATATTATAACACAACGTGTGCTGCCTCAGCTGCTAACATACATACAACAACATGTATATGTTGTATATTTATAATGCGCGCATGCGCGACAATCTATCTATCCTCTTCTATCGCTTCGTATTGAGTGTATAGGTCGGTCTCTCTTGCTTCACTGCCGTGGCATGAGTTGTACCGCGCGTGTGTGCATCACACTCTTATTCTCTTCTATTGCCTAGTATTCAGTAAATACGCGGTTCTCTCTCTTGCTTGTACAATGCTTCCTAAGCTATTTCCCCTTCGAGCGTCTGAGACTTTGGACTTAGCGCACGAGTGGGGGTTGACGAAGAACCGCACAAAAGGTAGACGCGGATAGCCGAAACTGTGTATGAGATAAATATGTACAAGCTATAGCTCTATTTTTCCTGCTCTCTACGTTATATCTCTCTACTCGGTCTCGCAACGCAGGAGTGTGTTTTAGATATACCTAGCTCTCTCTTAACATTGAATATTTTTTCTCTCTCATGTAGTGAAATGAGCCTAAACGTGTAAAGTTTCACTTCAAAAATTTCAGGGCCTGGAATAAGGAGAAATTTTTAGAAACATTCCTAACGAACTCGAATGAATTCAACAACTTAATTCAGTTTCGTTTAGTTTGAAGAATTTACGAAGGAGAGCCACATGATGGAAGTAGTTCAGAAATTGTAGAAAAATCGGGTATATGGCGTCAAGCTCCTAGAGCACTCCATCTGTCGCGCATTGTACTCTTTACACATGAACGCTCACTTCTCTCAATTGAATTTGACAAATGTGACGATGGAAAAGGTAGGTGCTTCAGGGGACGGGGACGGGGACGAGGAAAATACGAACAGCTCCAGAGCGCGAAATCTGCGCAGACGAACAGGCCAAATCGCGGACGAAGTACTTTGGAATAACTCTGGAGTGCTCAAACTGTGGCACCCGAAAGCGGCTCTGGATCAGGATAAAGGGTGGCATAGAAACGGTTTCCATTAGTCATTTGATAGCTCTAAATTTATCTCGTTTTCAAATCGCAAAGTTTCTTGCACATTACCGCCCCGGAAGTGCCAGCGTTTTATTGACACAAGTGCCTTTCGGTAGAGTACAATGTTTTTGCAAGCACAAGCTTTCGAAGCATATTTCGTTTTGTCGTCAGGTGTGTGGATTAAATGACGATTTGTGAGTGGTGTTTATCAATTTAAGTTGGCACATTTGCTGTACAAAAATCAAAAACTCAAGAACACAAAATGCGAAAAGCATTTACAAAAAAAAAATTGTAGGCGTCTCGTAAAACTCATCAGCGTCTGATTTATGATAACCGGACGTCGAATGCTGCAGGGCTAATGCATCCTTCACTTAAAAAATAAATTACATATCAGTGATTTTTTCTATAATCGACATGGCTGAGTATTTTTATTATTTTGAAATCATAGTTAATATGGTGGTGTGAGCCAGGCTAACTATTCCATTTTCTCAAAAATAAAAATTGGATTTTAGATAACTTTTTTTATCAATACTCAATTATTTTCGCAACTAATGTGAAACGATAGGCGTTCCATTGAAGTTTGTCAAATATCTGATAACTTAACTCTAGCCGACGAATTAGATGAAAGTAACTTAACGTAATAAACAGGGTAGAGCAAGGAGTAGTGGAGACTGTATGGGACCGGTATCAGGAGAGCCTTTGTTAGCGTCAGCTCGAAATTGTCATCAAGTAACACTAGGGTCACGAAAAGAGCTTGGATGACTGATGAAATCCTCGCCTTGATGGAAGAAAGACGCCTGCAAAAAGACCAGCCAGCATATCGCTAGTTGAATCGTGAAATAAAAAACAAAGTTAGGTTAGCTAAAGAAAATTGGGCAAACAAACGGTGTAAGGAAATTGAAGACCTTGAATCAAAACATGACAGTATTAATATGCATAAGAAAATTAAAAAAGCTGCTGGTGTATGCAATCCTCGACAGACCGGCATTCTGTTGGAGAGTCAAGATAAGATAATTCTTAATGTCAACGACAAAGTGAAACAGTGGTGCAGCTACATCGAAAATCTGTTTCAAGACGAGAGGTCGGACATTCCTGAAAAGGAAGACGTTCAACACGCCATTCAGTTATACAAAAACCGGAAAGCTGCAGGTCCCGAGGGTGTAAGTACACCCAATACGCAATAGTGAAGCTTTTCAATATGGTTTACAGATCGGGCCTCATTCTCTCTGACTGTATAAGCATGCTTCGTAGACTATGAGAGAGCGTTTGACAGGGTACAGCTTGAGAAACTTATAAAAATTCTCAAGGATGTAGGCCTAGATGATAGAGACCTCAAGATAATCGCAAAGCAAATCTCTAATGGAATCAGACTGCTCAAATCAAGGTAGACCAACAAATGTCTGACGAAGTACGGATAAAAAGACGGGTCCAGCAGGTCCCCTTTCACCATTATTTTTTGATATTTATTCGAACAAGATGTTTGAAAACGCATTAGAAGACTGCACTGAGGTAATTTGTACCAACGGTGTGAACATTAACAATTTTCAGTATGCGGACGATACGGTTTTAATCGCTGATTCTCTGGAAGGTCTTCAAATATTACCTGATCATTTGGTACTCAAAGCGGAGAATTTGGATCAAAATTGAACGCCAAAAGAATTAAATGGATGGTGATTGGTAAGAACCAGGTTGGAGGGGTTATCCTTCAGGTACAGAACCAATAGATCGATCGGATCCAATCAGATACCTTGGATGTCAGCTTAATAGGTTTGTTCGGACTTAGTTCAGAATCAGTTCTGAATTGAGCTGCGCATGCGCATTTGTTTATTTATGTTCGATATGAACAAATGCACAAGCGCAGTTCAACTCAGAACTCATTCTGAACTAAATCCGAACAAACCTAATGAAGACTGGGATAACATTCAGGATGTTCGTGTCAGGATTAAACGAGATCATTTGTAAAAATGAAGTCCGTGTTGTGTAGTCGAGGTCTCTTGCTCTCCGTTCGGATTCGAGTACTACGTTGCTACGTCTTCAGGGCTGGGAATCTGTAACGAATAGAGATATTTTCTCTATCTCTATTGAAGGCTCCTCTCTATTGATTTCGACAAGGCAGAAGAAGACAGCAAGTGCCATAGCGATAGGGATAACGATCTTTATCCTTTACAGAGTTCCAGCCCAGTATTCTTTATTATGGGATTGAGGCATAGACTCTGACAGACGCTATGTGTGAAAAGCTAGAGGCCTTTGAGATGTGGCCATATAGACGGATGTTAAAAATATCTTTGATAGAAAGAGTGCGCAATGAAGATATGCTAACGAGAATATGAAACGATCTTGAAGTTATGTTTACGTTTGAAAACTTCTCAAGCTCATATTCGAGAAAAGATTCGAAGGCAGAAGAGGGCCTGGACGTCGAATAATATCTTAGCTAAAAAAATTACTTCACTGTTATGGCGAAACCACGACAAGTCTGTTCAAAAAAGCAGTCGACAAAGTACAAATAGCGCTGATGATTGCCAACGTTCATAGAAGACAAGGCACGTGAAGAAGAAGAAGGTGTTCTCTTATTTATGCAAATTTATCCATGCACAATTTAATATACAATAAAAAATGCCCATTTTGGTCACACTTTAATGGTATTTGACAAACTTAAATAAAATCATTTTTGAGGAATCGTAGTTTCCCATGCTATGATATGAACACAAAACCGAATTTCTAATAATTATTGTTAACCTCTTTTTCGAAATTGGAGCCAAAAATGTCGTTCTACTCGGCCCAGGGTGTAGCCTGAATTATGGCTTAAAATAGAAAAATTAATAAATCTACTGTTTATTTGCAGCATTTTCACTTAAAAGTTTAGAGAAGAAGGAGATCCAGCCACAAGAAGTTGTGAGCAAATCACAGGATTTGAGTCTGATTTAACCCCTTTAGCAAAAATACACTTTTCGTATACGTATATACTATTGTTTCTTTTATGTGGAATAAATAAAGACCTCGTAATGCTAAGAAATGTAAGTAATATACGTATATCTTTCAAGTAAAGTGGAACAGAAAGCAAGCATAATATATTCTTGTAAAGAGATTTTATTTTCAAAATTAAAAATTTTAAAATTCCTAGAGCATTTTCAGTAACGTAGTTGAATTCGTTGTTTTAATTTCGATAGCAAGTTGGCAACCTGCTGCCACGGCACATTTTAAAAGTTTAAAATAACTTGCCCGGAATTTATGATTTTAAGAATTACTTCATTTTATATGCGTCGTAATGCATTCAAAATTACCAAACACTTCAAAAATTTCTTCTTTTGAAATTGACATATTTTTTGAATAAAAATTTTCATAGAAGAGAAGTTCCTCATTATTTCATCAGAAATTTATTTTTTAAGAGGATAGGAATCCAATAAAAAATGGCTACCGCCGAAATTAGGATAGAGAATTCCATTGCTCAAGCAAATTAACAAGAAATTGTTCTTTATTAAAACTTCAGATA